AATGTTCCGAGTTTCACATGTCTTCAAAATACATGCAAAAGTTAAAATAGTGTGTCAAATTGAATAAACTTAATTTATGTTATGTTAATTTCGTGAACATTGATCCCACATGATTAAGATGGGCTGTTTTCGTGTAAGAATACAATTTCAATTTTATGGATCTGATTAATTTAGATTGGAATTTATAGGATTAAAGAAATAAATGAATATTTCTAAATAATTTAATTGATGGTCCCATTAGCTTTACTGCTAATTAATTTGCAGTACCTTCATATATATATATATATATATGTTGATATCAATTGGAGCATTATATACCTCACTAGCTTTTGTCATTGCCCTAATTGTGATGATCAGACAATGATATATTGTCAATCAACCTTCGCTAGGTTTTCATTTTCTAAAAAAGGTAAGTTGATATGCTATTTTTGAAAAATTTTGTGAAAAAACACTTATTTTTACTCTCATATCATATTTCTATTTTACACTTATGGTCAAAATTTATATTTTGCACTGTCAAAATTTTCAAGTGAACAAAAATAGTAGTATACTGTAAAGCCGCAACACCTTAAAAGAGCCAATGTTGATAAGCTAATGGACTAATTGACATGTTAGATGCAATTTTTTCTAAATTGACAGTTAATAATTAGAAAAAATTTCGCTTAACTTTTTGATAATCAAATATAAATATGTATATATATATCTATTTTTTTATAAGCGCCCCGTTAAACACCCCATTTTTTATATAATTTTTCACTAGTTAAAATATAAAGGCATTGTTTGATTGTTCGGATTGGATGTAAAGATTTTAGGAGGATATATAATACCTAAATATAAAGATGGGATATAATATGTTGTAGGGTATAAAATGAATTATATATATTGTGGAGTCACTTATACTATGTTTGATTAAGATATGATATAAGATGGGATAAGAGGAGAGTGATTATTTTTGACCTTTGGATGAAAGATAAGCTATATCTGATGGTGAGGGATATACAATACCATGAGGGAATGATATTGCATATCCCCTTTTGCATCATATACTATCCGGACTCCCTATATTCGGAGCAACCAAACACGAGATATAGGGAGACAAAAAAATATGTGGTACTCATCTCATATTATATCCGGTCTCACACACATATCCGGCCTTTATATCCGGTAAATAAATAGGGCCAAAAAAGATAATTTTTTATTTTGTCTAGATCTTTTTTTATCTATATACTTTAACGCTACTCTTTATTTTATCTATTTATACACACAAATTGTTTGAAGAGTCTCTCAAGACTCTTCAAATGTAACTAGCCTTGAATTATTTTACAAAAAAAATACTGTAATAATTAACATGTTAATGTGATTAAAATATGATAATACTAGTTATAATAACTAATAATTATCATTTAAAGAGTTCTTTAGAAATACTCTAAGCTCTAAGGTATGAGTAGAATTTTTTTTATAGAATATTAGATATGATTAGAAGTTGACCAACACCAAAACACATTATACAAATTTTCAAATTTAAATTTTATTTATTTATAAAAAGTTCCAATAAACTACACCAACCAATAGACATGGTTTTAAATATTATTTCCTTTTGACATTATCAAACATAGCTAAATGAAACACTGTTTAGCAAAATCTAAGGTATGAATTGTAATTTTATAATTTCATTATTATTATTTATGATGTAGCAACTGTTTTTTATTATAAGACAAGCATACAATTCTTTGGGCTTGTGTGATGCATTTTTTTTAATGTTAAAAACATGTTTTCTTTTAAATTCTCAATAATCAACATTTTAAAGTTATTTAAATTATTTTTATTTCATAAAGTTAAAAAGATATTAAAAAAAACTTGATTAAAAAAAAAAACAAAACAAAATTACAAGCAATCCTTCTAAACTAAATTAGACAGGCACTTTCTATGTGGGTGTTTGAGAAGTTGTTGTTTTAGTAAGTTATTTTAGTTTTTAACTATTTTAATAGGTTAAAATTTTTGTGTTTAGAAAGATAATTGAATTTTTTTGTAATTAGATGTGATATTTGTAAAAAAAATAAAATAATTATAAATTTGATATATTATTTTATCTTCTTAACTATTTTAATCTATTTTACCTTTTTAAATACGAGCTCAACCCAAAAAAAACACAAAGGAGAAAATAAAAAAGTCAAAAGTGGGCAATCTTAATTTTTTTTTTTTTTTAAAAAAAAAAAAAATCCTTTGTAGGTAATGGTTGCTACCCTACCTTACAACAACTCCAATCGTATTCCTAGTCTTGTACCCTGCAAGAAAAATATATATTGGACTAAAAAAGTTTGGGACCCACAGTATAGAATGATGCAAAGTGGCGGTGCGTGTGAGTAGTTCCATTGACTAACAAACAATACCTAGTCAAACAAGATTGATTTGATTGAATTGTGGAGTGCTTAGAGCAACTTGGGAAGTAATTTTATTTTTAAAAAAATTTATATATCTGTTGCCATTTTTGTTTTTATTAATTCATTGAAAGATAGTGTGATTTAAAATTTTTATGTTAATTACTTGAAGAAGTAAGCAAAATAGCAGTTCCCATATACACATTAAAAATACAAACTATAGTACTTGCAAAATTAATTATTGATAGGATGATTTAAATAGAAGTAAGGCTACAAATGAGTATTTTAATTTATAACTAATGTCAATTAATTTCAGGGGTCATTTCAAATATGAACATTTTATTACCGCATGCTACATCAATTTATTATTATTATTTTTTTTTTGTGTAACATTTTCCTTCAAAAATTTCTAATAAGGTCTAAGACAAATCAAAATCATCTTGCAATGATCTTATTATAACTTTTACAATAACAAAACATGTAAATGAAAAACATAATTTAACCGTCTAAGTTTTAAAAATTATTACAAAGTAACATTAAAATATTGTCTTCTATTTTTATTTTAAATTATAAGGGGATTTGGTCATAACCCCCTCACTATCTAATTTCTCTTTCAAAAGGATAAGAATTATATAAGTATTTTCAAAACCCCTTAATATTTTAAAACTTGTTTCTTTTACTATATTACCCTCATATCTATCAGCTATCCTATTAAGACATTTTCACTATGTATTTCAGAGTAAAATTTTACTCTGTATGAAAGTAAAATTTTACTCTCTGAAACTAAAGTAAAATTTTACTCTGTATAAAAGTAAAATTTTACTCTGTATAAAAGTAAAATTTTACTCTGAATGAGAGTAAAATTTTACACTCTGAAACTAAAAGTAAAATTTTACTTTGTATATGGTTCTGTCAAATGAAAAAAACAGAGTAATAGAACCAGAGTAAAATTTTACTCTGGTTCTATTAAATGAAATTTGATGTTTACTCTGAAAAATCGATGGAACTTTGAGCTTTGAGCTTTGAATCAGGCCTATAATTCTTGAATCAATCGATGTTTACTCTGAAAAATATTGAATCATGTCTATAATCCTTGAATCAGGCCTATAATCTGAAAATTTTAGAGAAATCTCAATTTTTCATACCTTGGTTCTTCAGATTTTACAGATTTTTCAGATTTTTGAAACTTTGAGCTTTCAAAAATCTTGAGATTTTTCATACACACAGATTTTTCAGATTTTACTTTAAATCTTTGAGCTTTTGAGTTCGAATCAAATGATCGCCGAGACCGATCTATGCAATCATTCAAATCTCCGATCTTAAAGACTCAAAACACACATATATATAGATATATACACACACACATATATATATATATATATATATATTACAGATCGGAATAGAGAGATCGTCAGAGCTTAGGAATGACATAGCTCCGGCCATGGAGGAAGCTAGGGTTAGAAGTGAGAGACAAGAGAGAAAATAAATTTTGTATCTGGATTGTGTATATGTGAGGGTATAATAGTCTGATAAAATATTTAAATAATAAATTTTGTCCTTTATGCAAGACTTTATAATTATGAGGAGGTTTAGAAAGTATAATTTTTTTCTTAATCCTTCTAATAATGAAAGGAAGGTAAAAGGGGTTTATAACCAAATTTCCCTAAATTATAACACTAAAATTATAGGGGGGTAAAAAGAGTTAGGACTTAAAAAGAGTCCAGTTTGGAGTTGTTTGGAAAGTGAGAAAATAGTCAAAAAGTAATTACTAAAAAATCAATTATTATTTTTTATTTTTTCGTACATCTTCTTCTTTTTTCTTTTTTTTTTCTCTGAAAAATGTCCAAAAATTAATTAAAATGACAAATTTTCAAACGAACTCTAAGGCTTTATTTGGTTAGAGAATTTGATAAAGGAAATAACATAAGAAAGGAAAAGAAAAAGGAAAATAGAAGAAAATGAGAAAGAATTGAAACGATTCGAATTATAAGTTCAAAAATATTTGATAGCTCGAATTTATGTGGTTTGAATAGTTTGAATGTATCAAAACAACGTCGTTTTATCCCCAAAACGGTATCGTTTTGAGACATTTGAGCTATTCGGGCTATGAAAATTTAAGCTACCAAGCATTATTATTATGAGTAATATTTGATTGAGTTGAAAAAAAATACTTAGCCTTTGTTTGAGAAGAAGGGTTGGGTTAAGTTTGAGGTTATTTTAGCCACAAAAGGACAAAATAGACTTTTTCTTTTTTATCTAATAAGACAAAACATCACATCAAATTCATAATCATCACATTTTTTTCTCACAAAAAGTTAAAAAATTCTTTTCAAAAGAGTCTTTTTAACCCCAAATTAATAATCAAAAAATTAAAAAATTAATCCACTTCTCAAATGTGAACGGCAAAGATAAAATGTAAATTACATTTCTCTCATAATTTCTTTTTCTCACTGTATTTCATTATAACCAAACTTAATTTTTTTCAATCAAATTCTTTAACCAAATATAGCCTTCGAGGACGTTGCGTAACCGTGAAGGTTCTTCATTAAATCCTCTCATCTGCCTCCATTCATTGCCTCCACTCCTTCCCTCCATTTTAGCCTATAAATTTCCCACCTCCCTCTACACTCCCCCCTACCATTTCTCTCTCTCTCTCTCTCTCTCTCTCTCTCTCTTACCCTGCAAAAACTCTCTTCTTTCTCACTCTAAAAATGCCTCAAATCTTACCAGACTTCTCCTCCTCCGTGAAGCTTAAGTACGTCAAACTCGGCTACCAATATCTCATCAACCACCTCCTCACCTTTCTCCTCATCCCCATCATGCTCTCTCTCCTCACCCACCTCCTCCACTTAGGTCCCCACGAACTCCTCGCCATCTGGCGATCTCTCCACTTGGATCTCCTCCAAATCCTCTCCTCCTCCTTCCTCGTCATCTTCATCGCCACTCTCTACTTCATGTCAAAACCTCGCTCCATCTTCCTCGTTGACTACTCCTGCTACAACCCCCCCGTCACGTGCCGAGTCCCTTTCGGTACTTTCATGGAACACTCCCGACTCATCCTCAAAGACAGCCCCAAAAGCGTCGATTTCCAGATGCGCATTCTAGAACGTTCCGGACTCGGCGAGGAGACCTGTTTGCCTCCGGCGGTTCACTACATTCCTCCCAATCCCACCATGGAAGCTTCTAGAGGCGAAGCTCAACTCGTTATATTCTCCGCCGTCGATTCGCTCATAAAGAAGACCGGAATCAAGCCCAAAGACATCGATATCCTCATCGTGAATTGCAGCCTGTTCTCGCCCACTCCCTCATTGTCGGCCATGGTGGTGAACAAGTACAAGCTGAGGAGCAATGTCAAAAGCTTTAATTTGTCTGGTATGGGATGTAGTGCCGGTTTAATCTCGATCGATTTGGCTAGAGATTTACTTCAAGTTCATCAAAGTTCATACGCTCTGGTAATTAGCACGGAAATCATTACCCCTAACTACTATCAAGGTCAGGAGAGGGCTATGCTGTTACCGAATTGCTTGTTTCGAATGGGAGGAGCAGCGATTCTGTTGTCGAACAATCGAATCGAGAAGAATCGGGCCAAGTACAAGTTAGTTCACGTGGTTCGAACTCATAAAGGCGGAGACGATAAGTCGTACCAGTGCGTTTACGAAGAAGAAGATCCGCAAGGAAAAGTCGGAATTAGGCTCTCCAAGGACCTCATGGTTATCGCTGGAGAAGCTCTGAAATCGAACATAACGACAATCGGACCGTTAGTCCTTCCGGCTTCCGAGCAACTCCTCTTCCTCTTCACTCTCATCGGCCGCAAAATCTTCAACCCTAAATGGAAACCTTACATTCCTGATTTCAAGCAAGCGTTCGAACACTTCTGTATTCATGCAGGCGGGAGAGCGGTGATCGATGAGCTCCAGAAGAATCTGCAGCTATCGGCGCAGCATGTGGAGGCGTCGAGGATGACTTTGCATCGATTTGGAAACACGTCGTCGTCTTCGCTGTGGTATGAACTGAACTATATTGAAGCCAAAGGGAGGATGAAGAAAGGGGATAGAGTTTGGCAGATTGCGTTTGGAAGTGGGTTTAAGTGTAACAGTGCGGTTTGGAAGTGTAATCGGACTGTTAAAACACCAGCTCATGATAGTCCTTGGCGAGACTGCATCGATAGGTATCCCGTGCATATTCCAGAGATTGTCAACCTGTAATTTTAGTATTCTACTATTAATAATTGTTGATGCTGCTGTTAATTGTTGTGTATTGTTTGTTAATATATATATATATATATATGTGTGTGTGTGTGTGTGTGTGTTTATATTATTTAATTTTTTTTTTTTGAGGTTCGAAATGTTTCTGCAAAAGTTATTGCAGTGCATTAGTTATGCTGCTTGTCATCAAAGTTGTAATTTTTTCTTTGATTTCATGAGATTAATTATATGATATAAGTGTTGTGTAAATTATAAAAAAAAAAACTTATAATGAAGATACTCCGTTGAATGCTAGTTGCGGTATTATGATTGTGTCTTTTTTACATACCCTAGTTTGATGGTTCATCTACAATTTTCTGTATCAAAATATCATCATGGTATTATGGCTTGGTTTGGGAGGTAGTTGCTTTTTAATTTTTTTTGATATTTTAACTGGGTTAAAAAGTTAATTGTAAGGACTTTGACTTTTTTGACCTTTTGTAAAGAGAAATGATGTATTATGAGTTAAATGTAAATATTTTACCTTATTAAAGTTAAAAAGTTTATTTTATTTTGATTATTTTAACCCTAATTCACCCAAACCCACTTCCAAACAATGGCTATATAATTTGCAAAGGTTTATATTATTCGGTATAGGGGCTAAACATCTTGCCCTCACTTTTTTTTTTGCATTCTTTAGTCTTAAAAAAACGCATAATTATTGAATCAGTAAAAATTGATAATGCCATGAGTGTTTTTGGAATAACTTAATTGAATTGATTGAAATTAACTTATGAGTAGATAATTTATTATTTTGCATAAAACTATGTGAATGTTATTAGTCGTATTTGTTTATAAAAATGTTAAAAGTTAATATTCACTTGGATTAAGATTAAGACAAAATATAAATGGAAATAAAAATTAAATCAATTAAATTATAAAGTTTAAATAACAATAAAAACAGAGTTAGAGAGAACTACATCATAATTTGTGCGCTAAAACCATTAGGCCTGTCTTAAATAATACAAACAAGTTACTAAAACATTTTAGAGCACAACGTACGTGGGGTTTCATAGTTTTGAAGCACATTTAACTTTGATTGCACTTATTGATTGAAGATGTTGCAATTAGTGTTGTGTGACTTTGTACATTTATTGTTACAAATTCCCTGAGATTTCTACACCAAGTGATTGGGACTTCGTTGCATAAGTTAAATGAAACTTTCAACTAAAAAGTCAAAGAGATAAAATAATTTTAGTTATAAATAAAAGTCACATTAATCATTATCATATCAGTTTTTTCTCTTACAAAATATAAAAAATTGATTCAAACCGAAATTTTTTAGGCCCCTACGTAATAGTCAACCAACCTCGAGGACTAATCTCTACTTTTTTCTCTGGGGCACCACATACGTTTGAGTGCTCCTATTGTTATTGTCATCAGTATCAGTTTTAGGTTTTGTAAGTATTTCGAAATAGTGGTAAATGATAATCCCACTAAAAGTGGTGCTACTAACACCATATGAGTTGTTGCAACACTATTAAAAATAATAAATAAAAACGAAGCAAAAATGGTCAGTCCACTGCCATCAACTGATGGTCTTTAGAAGCAGCCACTTTTAGTGATACGTAAGCTTATTTTCGAAAATGGTAAATTACATCCCAAAAATGGTTGCCGAAAGCTCCCATATAATGTGGCTAATGCACCTTTAATAAATTAATAAATAAAAACCAAGACAAAGCAGTGGGTCCCGTCCACTTCACATCACTAGTGTGCTTTAGAGCCACCACCTTTAGTAGGTCTAACAATATTTCGAAATGGGTAATGATACATCCACTAAAAGTGGTGCTCTAAAGCACGCACATGACGTGGCAAGTCACTTTAAATAAATAATTAAATAAAAACCAAGACACAAGAGTGGGTCCAGTCCACTGCCCAACTCACTAGTGGTGGCTTTTAGAAGCACCACTTTTAGTGGTCTCAAGTCATTATTGTTCGAAATGGTAGATACTATCACGAAAAGTGTGCTCAAACACCTAACAAAGTTAGCATATAGTAGGATAAATTGAATATCAGAATTTAGGAGAAATTTAGCAGCACAGTAGTCCACGTAACACCTGTATTGTAGTAGTTCTGCACGATTGTTGAGATTCACATTTTTTTACTGTCCCGTTCATTCAAATTATAAAATTTGTTTTTTTGTACTCATAATTTTTTTTTTTTAAAAAAATCTTCACAGAATTTATATCATATTTATATAATAATATTAGTTATATATTGAAAATATATATATATAGATATATATATATATTTATCGGAATAATATTAATGAGCAAATTTTACCATCTAAGCTACAATGGCCCTGTTCAAGTCTAACTGCTAAAAAAGATTATAGTTACTTAAAGATTATAATTAGACTTTAATAATTTTAATCTGTTTGTTGTAATCGTTAATTATAATTTAAGTTGCTGGTAGTTGTTTTAAATAAGGCTGTCAGTAACTTTAATTGATTTTTTTTTTTGCATATCACTACTGTTGTACATTCCCATAAAATAATAATAATATTAATAATAATAAATATATGATATAATAATAATAATAATCTTTGTATTTAGAGTTTTTCATTTTAGAAAAATGAAAAATAAAAAAATCTAAAAGTATAGTGTAATACATGTCTAAGTAGATATGATAATTCAGCAAGTAGGGATGAGCGACTTCTCAGCATCAACTCTTTAGTTAAAATAATTGTTAGAATCAAAAACCGGTTGAAATAAGTTTAACCAAATAACCAAATACTGTTTAAAATTAAAGCTATAAACTGCGTCAACAAGCCCACCGTCTAATGTCAGATGACTGCTTGAAATGAAAGATAACTAACAGCCACATCATTATATAGTAATATTCTATAAAGTTTTTTCATAAAATTACGATTAAGGGGATATAAATTTAGGTATTTTAGATCACAACTGGAATGCGACAACCATGAGAAAACTCAAGCATTTGGCAATGGTTTTTGATGGGATCTATCTTGCGTAGACACAGTGAAATAGATTCAATAATTACATTTGCAGATTAAATGAATAGGCCTACTTATTAGGTCAAAGCCTTCCAAGTTT